ACTATAGATATATTCATAATTCTTTTTCTTTTCTTTTTTCTTTTTTTTTGTTTACGTTATTATGATTACACCAGGGACTGAAAATATAAATATAAATATGAAAAATAATTAGTCACATGTTGATATCTAATCGTTTTACAGTTAAAATACAATCAAAATGTAATATATTATTAATATATTATTAAAATATATTATAAAATGTATTACATAATAACATAATATGTATCGAATTTTGCTATTATAACGATATTATATTATTCTATTATTCAAAATATAATTAAGAATAATAATTGTTAAATTCTTATTTCTCTCTTTTACAATACAAAGATTCGCTGGTTTGATTGAATCAAGTAGAAATTTGAAGTAGAATAATATAATTGAAAGCTTTCATTATTGCGATTTTATGAGAATAAGGGTATAGACAATATCAGTATAGAATCGTTAATAAAATTGTTTTGATCTTAAGTCCCTGGATTATGCTTATATTTTATTACGGAAGCTAGTTAATATTTACTTAAGATTTATCAGATTATTTTCTATTATTTATATTTATTTGACAATTATACATAAAGTAACGGTTAGGTCGTAAGTAACGGTGCCTGAAGAATCACATGAAAATTGTTACATAAAGTACGAAACACATAAGCCACACATACGACACACACACACACATGACGACGACGACGACGACGACGCGCGCGCGCGCACACGCACGCACGCACACACACACACACACACACACACACACACACACACACGCGCGCGCGCGCGCGCGCGCGCGAGAATAAGATATACGTATATAACTGTCCGCTACTGTGATTACTGATCGCATAATTATTAATCGATTTTTACGCCCTCGTTTTCTCTCTTGAATCTTGTTTGAATGCATCACTCTAACTTGTACAGATATTCGATTTTTTCTTTATCGTGTTGTAGAATTAGCGGTGTAAACTGTAAATGAATTTACGGCAGGTAAAGGAAATCCTCCCGAGAGATAGAAATATCTCCCTACGTCCACGCGAATCTCTAATAGAATCTCAACTTTCGCACACATTGCGACAACGATTACGAGACTTTGTAATGAGATGAACAGTCTAGACAAGTTCAAATCGGATCTCTCCAACTATTTGCTCAGTCTGTTCCCTACTGGGAACAGTCGTTCTGTCCTACTTTGCAGCCGTTCATTAGCATCGCGATACGTTATACGTACTTCTTAGCCATGAGATACGCGCGAATTTCTGTCGTATCGTTTCTTACTCACGCAGCCAACGCGAACGCTTAATGATTAGAGAATTAACAGTGATCTTGACGCGGAGAGCTCGCGCATTGTTATATAGATATTATTATATCGCGCATTACCATATATATATATATATATAAATCTCCAATTGAGACGTCCAAACTTTTCGAAATATTTAGATTAAATACGTATTACAAAATCGCTTCGCGAGTGTCAATCAGCGCGGCAAAAGTGTGTTAAATTAATTAGATTCGTTCCTATTTAAATTTATGCGTGATCAATCAAGGCGCGTTTCGCGACCCGCTAGTGCTTAGTTTCGCCATTTCGTCGTTTCTCGTGCAGAGTATGTAAAGCTCGTCACTTGCTCAATTCTTAGCGTCACTCTCGTAGGACGAAAGGTGGAATTCCTCCCCTTCCCCTTTTTGAAAGCGGAATTTTTAGTCTTTACGTACTTTTAACTGTCGAGGTTTGTGCGACTCGAACAATGATGATTCATGTAAATTAATCGGTCGTAACTTTCAACCTTTGACACCGGTGGCCGTTTATTATTGTACAACAGTAGAGGCGGACCTCTCTGCGAACGATAGTTTCGACAGCTCGAAGTTACACAGTGCTGCGAGGCGAGTGATTTTACTTGCAGATAGCTTAAACGAAGTACTTGAAAGAGAAACAGGTATATAAGAGAAATATATATTATATATACATATATATATATAATATTTATATTATATACATATACAATATATATGTATATATATATGCAGACGTTAATATTTTTGTATTGACTATAAGATACGTAAATATGTGCGAGTACTGAACCTTAGAGAGCGAATATAGAGAAAAAAATAAAAAAAATAAAAAAAAGAAAAGAAACAAACCGGAAGATAAAATGCGATTGAGGGTAAGAAGCGAGAGATTTCCCGAAATCCATCCGTCCGCATTGATTATAGGTCAGTACTGGACTATACTGTGCTGCTATTAGTTATGTTTAAATTAACTTAAAGTGCCGAGACATCGATGGAATTTTATGTAAAAACGAAAAGAAAAGAAACACACGGAGAGAATGTGGGTGAGAGGGAGAGAGAGAGAGAGAGAGAAAGAGAGAGAGAGAAAGGGTCGAGAAGAGGAATGAATGTGCGCAAGTGCATGCTATGGGACCAAACGGCAAGACGCTTGCAAGTTCCTCCCCCCTTTTTTTTTCATTTACTGCGTTTCGTATTATGAAAGGCCGTTTTTTGTATATGTAAAAGCTACCTTGCCTGGGACGTTCCTGGGCGTTCTTTAACGCTTCTTCGTTTCGGTCTGGGATCGCGGATTAACAAATTGATCGTCACGAATACAGGGTATTTTGCTTCATACTGTTTACTGATATTGTTGTCAAAAATGCGTAGGTACATGGCGCAGGTGGTAAATAACGAAGATATAAACGCGGAGATAAAAAAAATCGCAGATTTTATTAATTGTAAAATTGCGACCGCGAGAAGTCTGTCGCGCGAAGGAACGTGGTGACGGGTTTTATATCCCTGTGACTAAAGCTTGGTGTCACTTGATCCGGTCGGAACCGCCTGTCATAGAGAGATATTGCAGGATTGCAATCCTGGCAGAGCGTATCGCTCGCCGATATCCCGGAGTCGAGACACGTCTTGCCGTTTCGTGCCCATAACGTCAAAACGGAGAAAAGAAAGTAGACGCGCGCTTGTGGAGTCCGCATAATCTTTTCTTTTTAATGCGAGGACGTACAACGCACGAGTCGATGAGTGAAGGAAAGAGCTCGGCAAAGCGGCGCATTGAGGGTACGAAGCTTGAACGTGTGACCCGTATGACGAGAATCGAGACTCGAGTTGATGTTGCGACGCAATCAATTTCCAACACGACGTCGGTCGTTTTCACGAGCAAGTGAACAACGAGCTGAAACACGCCGTTTCCAGACACGTGCTGTTTCTCGTTCACCGGCGGTAGAGACTCGCGAAACGGACGGGCCCAGTTTGGTACCCTTAATGCGATTTTTACTTGATATACTCCTCGTTGTAAGTCGAACCTTAATCGCTGAATGGTAACATAATTAATATATGCCTATAAGCCAGGCGAGATCGAGACAATAAATGTAATCCTGTTACACTGAGACTATTGCGTTTTTCTTTTTTATTTACGATTCAATCCGAGGGGTGCTGGCTATTATCGTATTTATATATAACTATCCGTCTCCGTGTATTTGCACTTGTGCTAATCACACAACACACATCACTTGTGTTTCACTCGTCGCTTTGTTTGTTCCATCCGTTCGACCAGCGCGCGATCAGCGTCCGCTCTTAATATGTATCCGGTTTTGCTGAAGTATGTAAAAACTTGGCCAGATACAGATCTAAAAATAATTCTTATGTCGTCAAAATAATTATATAAGACGTAATTCTTGTAAAATTGTCTTATCTCGTTTTATCTTAATAAAATTGTCTTATCTTAATAAAATTTTTTGTCTTTATAAGATTGTCTTTATCTTATTTAAGCGTTCTATGTAATAATTTTGATGACCCAACAAAATTATTTTCAGATTCGTATCTGGCCAAATTTTTAGATATCTTAGCAAAATTGTTCCTTCTGTGTAAAAAATTCCACTCCGAATTGTCAGAGTTACTCTCAGATCGCTGATCTTTCAGACACTGATCCCCGCTAAGTCGAACGTTGCACCACTATCGCTGCGGCTGTGGAACACATTGTCATGATCGATGTTGCACTCTCGTTGAACGTTTCTCCAGTGTTCTCTCGTACATTCACCGTGTATGAAAAGTACATAAAAACCGGATTAGAGCAGAACGATAGCTGTATATAGTACTAGCCTGTACTGACCTGTAGCACATGGATGCGTCAGCGCAAAGCGTATCGATGGATTGCGAGATCGAGACAACGAAAAAAAAAAAGAAAAAAAAAAAATTAGCGGGGACGAAAATTCCGAAGAGGCGGAAGAGTCTTTCGCTCTAAAGAGGGGGTAAAAAACATAAGTGTGTGAAGGACGACACGTCGAGTTTCTCTAGAGTATCTTTTTTTCACTATACTATCTGTCGTTTATAGTCGATGAGGTGTGCGTGCGTGGGGAGGGCAGGCGACGATAACAAAGTTTCCGTTGTGTTTATTAATTAATTATTATTATTATTATTATCATCATCACATCATCATTATTATTATAATATTATTATTATTATTATTATTCTTGTTGCTGTATTATGTTCGGCTCGACACGGGCTTCACTATCTTACGTAACGTCCATGTGTTGTGGGTCAGAGCACCCTTAAGCAAACAGTACCTCAAGCTCCAGACTTTTCTTCCGGTTCCCGACAACGAGACCGACACCTCCCAGTGTCCTCTCCCCACGGAATTTTTTCGTTTCACGAGCCCGGCCCCTTCACGACGCACCGCCATCACGTTGCGCTTTTAAAACGCATTCTATTCACCGGCCAGCGTTTTCGCACACGGGGGTGAAGACGGATCTCATTTCGCGGGACTCCTCGGTTTCCGTCTCATCGTCGCGGCATCCGCGAGAGTCGAGGATATTTTCTCGTCGCCGTCGCTGTCGGGATGGAGAACGTTTCTAGGTGGATTTCTCGGCACACGCGTTTTCTTGCGCGCGGCAACGTGAGGGATATATCCGATTGAACGTTATCGGCTCCGTTGAAACCTGGACCTTTTACCGGATACCGTCGAAGTACGAACCGTCAACCGTTCGACGCGCGCGATTTACCGAGAGTCCCGCGAATCTCGCTGGTGAAAGATGCTGCGCGCGGAAAAACTTGGGCAAGGTTGCTGGGCTTGCCTGATCGTTTACGTGTAACCGGCCTGGTGTTGGTTGATTCGCAGGATCAGACCGAGTCGGCGGCCATCCTGAAGATCAAGGAGAGCATGCAGGAGGAGGCGAAGAGGTTTGAGAAGGACTCAGACCATCCCGATTATTTCATACAATAACTCTTCACGAGTCGTTGGACCCTGAGACCAAATTAACAATCTAAGAGATAAACACAATCGATTTCCTTCCTTTCTTCCTTCCTTCCTTCCTTCCTTCCTTCAAGTTCGAGAATCACCGTTTCCACCTACCCAACCGCTTCCTCCACCGTCCTCCCTCCCGCCATGAAATCCGCTCTCTCTCTTTCTCCCCTCGTATGTTTTCTCTCCCGTTTGTCCCCATTCTCGGATGATATCTCTGCTGCACATCACCATGTATAAGATCTTCCTCTCCTCTTTTCTTTCCGAGCCGTCGAACGGCGTAGGTCGATCTCCGTGAAGAAGGAGATCCCGCAAGAGATCCCCTCCTGCGCGCATTGGCGGCCCGTTCTTTTTGTCGCGCACTGCTGCAAGGAGGACCACTATGTCGAGGAGGACGAGAGAGACCTTCGAGAATCAGAATCAGAGAAAGAGAGCATCGATCTCGCGCGACTCTCACGTCGACCGACGTTTTCGCACAGCGATGTTGTACAGTATCGAACATTGATAGTGTTGTTATCCTTGGGGTTGAGTATGCACTTTGAACGAACGAACGAACGTGGCATGATTGAGCTTGAACTCAAAAGTACCCAGCGACGAGCAAGGAAAAGTCGATTGCTCGCGTAATTTCTTCTTTTTTTTTTGTCATTTTTTATGCGGTAAATATTTCTCGAACTTTAACAGCTGAAACTTGTACGTTTGTTGTTCGTTCGCTCAGCATACATTCTTAAGCTGCGACCGCGAACATTGTTCCAGTATCTTACTTAGTACGTGACGAAAAGAGAGAGAGAGAGAGAAAGAGAGAGAAAGTGCGCGTGTGTGTGATAGTATTATATTAGCGTAAAGGTTAAACTTTTGAAATTTTTACGACCAGGAATGCATTCCAGGATAAGCCCGCGAAATTTTCTAAATGATATTTCCGATCGCAGTCGTCATCCGTTCCCTGACAATCATTGTTGAAACCCTTATCACGCAACCATGTTCATACAAGACCAAGAATCATCTAATTACGATTAACTCTTTCTCTTGATTTGTTTACGATTTACGAAAGATATTAATCTGTCTCTTGCCGATCACAGCCAGCGAAATATTTATCGTTAATTGATGAAACCTGGCTCGAGGACTTTTCCTCAACTATCTACTTGCCAGGGAAGGATCATCGACTGCGACCCTCGACAAGTGACATCGTCACCGCCGCATTGATGGAAGTTGGACCACAAATGATCCACAAATCGTTAATCATCGTCGTAGAGCCCAAGGCAATAGTATACGACACGAATTATGAGAGCGATTAACCGACTAAGAGGCAAAGAGAAGGGAAAACAAGAGAGGAATCACGTTCCACGGATACGTAAAATCGCCAGCGCGTGGCGCGACAGAATGTTCATCGCGAAAGCTGGTCGCCCGAATTTGAGACATTTTTGGTATTCCGACACGATCGAGGACCAAATTCATTTCTATGATAAGCATGCGATTATCTCACCACGAACGACTCGAGCAAGCTCAGTGGAAGCTTTGCGATCATCGGTCATGAATCGATCGTTGGGATCTTCGTTATAACGATTTTAATAGAGATATGATTGGATCGAGTGCGACACACATTCACGATTTTCAACTTGTACGCGAGAACATCGCACATCGAGAGAAAGATTGCTGTTAGATTTTGTACACGAGGCGTTTTCCTCAAAGCCGACGCGTTTGTTTCGCTTTGACTCAGATGTCCGAGACACTGGAAATACGTCAGTCGAATTTTACCGCTACGTGTCATCGATCATTAATTAAGTACGTTCATTAAGACTCGCTTCAAATACATCGTTCCTTTTGTAGAATTAAACGCACCCGAGTAGTCCCTTTATTAAACTACGGATTGATTTAGCGCACAGCTGATTTTTTTTTTTTTTTTTTTTGGAGGAGATAGAAAAGATGGTAATCTCGATCGCTCTCTCTCTAACGTTGAATTCAGGATATCTTACGCGGTATTTTGTATAAAGTATAGAGTATGTGAGTTCTATAAGAAATTTTTTTGGAGATTTTCTCTCTGAGCGCTTACTTCATTTAGTCTGTTCTTCCTAGATGCACATTCTACGCTTTTCCTCTTCCTTTTTCTCTTTCCAAAGCGTAAATATATAGTTGCTTCGTTTTAAGTGCAAGAAAGCGTGAAAGGAGCTTGCAGCTGGTAAGAACAGATGTAAATGATAAATCGAGATGTATCAAAACGAAGGATATTGATAATTTTATTGTCGAGTTACTTTAGTTTCGGTCGGAGATAAGATGATGGCAATAGATCACCGCGATCCCTAGATGGAAGTTTGCGCCTTATGTTACATAAATTCTTGTATATGTATATTGCTAAGTTCTTTAATATATGTATTCGGGCTCAATCATTATCTCGTCCGTCTTTAAGAATTTATTTAATTTTCGTCACTGACGCGTGTGAGTGCAAGTAAGTTGTAAAAAGGAAAGGAGAAACTGGGAAACTTTTCCCAGGGAAAAAAAAGCGCATTTAACTCTTTCACTAGTTTAAGCGGAAGCGAAGCGATAAATTAAATTACGATTAATAGACGCGGTGCCGCACATATTTCTCTTTCTTCATCGAACTGGAGATGCAGATTAAGAGGGTTGAAAGGGTTGAACGCGGAGCGTTCGAGCTAGTGATTGAGCCCCCCCCCCCCCGTTTATTAGTTTTTACGTATTCGCGATCGAAAGGGACCCGTCCGCTATCGATCGCGACCGAAGGGCATGAAGAAAGAAGAAGATGAAGAAGAAGAGAAGAGAGAGATAGTAGGTATCATAAATTGAGTCGCGCGCACACACACGCAGTGTGTTCTTCGCGAATCAACCGGAGAAATCGGAGCTTGGGCAGGAGCTTGATCGACGTGCGTGATCGACGATTCGTCCAGGAGCGACTTGTCCGACGATGTGAGGCGTGGCCCGCATATTCGGAGCAGCGTCGACCCTCCCAATCACCCCCCCTCGCGTCCGGCCCTCCCTCCTACCCTTGTAATTAATTTACACACTACGCGTAATCATTATAACACACGCGTCTACACACGGGCTGTAAAACTCGCGCGGCTGACCTCACACATTCTACGGATTCACGTATGATCTATCGACATAATTATAGAAATATCCATTACGAGTATAGCATTCAGTAGCATAAATAATAAAGTAATTAAATAAATGTCATCTGTATATCCTATCAAGACAATGTGTTTTGCGTGTTCCCAATCTTGCGACGGCGACGATACGAATTAATTAATTTAAAGTGACGATGAGTCACCGGAGAGCTCAACGGGAGATTTGCTGTCTGAAGATTTACAGGTAAGTAAAATTGTATTATCCAACCGTATGGAGAAAATAGTGTAAGACACGCAAAAGATATATTCTTTTTTACATTCCTTTGCAAAAATAGAATAATATATTTAATACTATATGAAAATTTATTGCTATAATGCGCATAAATTATTTTAATAAAAATAAATACATAAAAATTATAAAAGATACCAGAACCGAAAGCTTTATTATGACTTAATCTGACATGATATCTTTTTCGAATAGAATCAAATCATATAATTGAGATAGCGAAACTGCACTCACTCAATTTGTTACAAGAATGTTCATGTTTTTTTTTTACAGCTTGAGAACTAGAACTCGGCGCGATTGCAAATATCTATTATATTTTTTGGCATATTCAATAAGGTAGTAATTCAAACTGTTCAGAGCATTTCTCAAATGTTATTCACTCGCAACTATGTTACATGATGTAATGTATATTTATCGTAAATGGCTTGTCACTCACGTGTGATTGCAGGCTTGGCAAAGGGAGAGACGACATTGCGTGTGTGTCGCGATACATCTGAAATATTAATTTATTTATATTACCAATAGTTATCACGTGACAAAGATTTTCCGAGGGATGCTTTGAAGTTTAAATGACACTGTAGTGCCGAGAAAATCGTTTTTTCGTGAAGTGATGGAACCCAATAGGACTTACTATTACGAGATAACTAAGAGATACTTGACAATAGTCGGTCAATGGCCTTATCAAAAACCAAAAGAGAGTTTGCTTTTCATGATCGTTATACTCGTTCTCGATGCCACTGCAGTCATTACGCAGGTAACAGTGGTCTTTTTACTTTTAGGAGAGAACAGAATTAATAATAATAATAAAATTTCGTTAACACTAGAATTTAATTAGTGTCTTTTCTCTCGTATTAAAGAAATGATTTTGAAATTTTTTATGAATTTTATTGTCTTTATTCTGATAAATTAACAGAAAAGTCAAAAAATTTCAAAATCCTATCTTTTTAATACTAGAAAAAATATATTAATTAAAATAAAAATAAATAAAGTTAAATAAAAATAAAAAAATAATCAGGTATAAGTAGTGATTATATAAGTAGTGATTATTTTTTTACTATTAAAATATCACTGAGTCGAATAGATCAGATTTTCTAAATGAAATCATTTCCTTACTAATTTTTAATAATTTTTAATTTTCTTTTCACATGAATAATTTCACATGCATTTTCCAGGCGGCAAGATTTTTTGTATGCGATGATATGCAATGTATCTTTGAAACTTTACCTCCATACATGTTAGCAGTGATAATTCCGGTGAAAATTCTAACTTATCGATTTAACAGCCAGAAAGTATGTTGTATTGATATAAACCGAATGGTATTGGTTTTCTAATCGTGAACACGAATAGGTTTTTTGCAAAATCTTAGACCTTGTTAACGTTGTTGTTATAACTGTCGAGGATGTTGCATTCGATATTTCGAAATATACCGGTGATATTTCTAGATTAAAGATCTCACAGATCGCTTATTCGTAGACTGGGATATGCTAGAGACTAAAATAGAACGCGATATTATGAGAAAATATGCTGAAAACGGCAGATGGTACTCGCTTATATATGGCCGTAAGTAATTTTCCAATTTCAATTGAGAAATAAATTTATTTCCTTAAACATTACAAAATAAACTCAAATTTCTTTTGTGCTTGAATGTAACGAATCAAAGTAAAACGAATTATTTTAAACAAAATTTAATATTATATAAAAATTTCAATACAATTTAACTAAAGATATGTTCATATAAACGCAAGAAATATAAGAAAGCTGATATAAATTAAAAATTAAAAATTTTATTTTGTTATTGCAAAATTCATATATTTAAATATTCACGTATCGTTTCATTCAACGAAGGAAGAACATGCACAGAAGAGAGAAAAGAGAAATAAAGAGAAAATGGAGACTCTTCTAGAAAGGAAACCACAATATAATTATAATTATTATTACAAGAATTTTTAATTAAAAAATGAGAGGGATATATTTCAGCTTGTTTTTCACGATTGTTACTCTTATTACAGCATATGTTTACGTGTCTACGATTTCATTTACAACAACCTCTCTCGTGCCACGCATCTTGGATGTTTTACGTCCCTTGAATACTTCTCGTCCTGTGAGGCTAGCATATCCAGCGTATTATTTCGTTGACGAAAATCAATATTTTTATTACATGTTTCTCCATATGCTAAGCGTCGCCACTATATGTATAACCGGATTAATCGCGCACGATTGCATGTTCTTTACATACGTCGAACACATCTGCGGTCTTTTCGCCATCGTTAGGTAATATTATTTATATTAATTTATATTTAAAGCAAGATTTCATATCTCTCGTAATTAGAAAATAATTTAAATTCTCTGTACTGTAAAGTAAATACAACGTAATAATAGTTTTAGCCCTCGTATATTTGCACGGAAGTTAATTCCAGAAAATTCTCATTTTTTTATCACAATTTTGTGTTGCGCGAATACTTGCAGATTTAGATTTGAGCATGTGTCGTATCAACGTGATAACACGGAGAAAAGTCTCATTGGTTGTCCGAACGATATGTACTTCAAAAACGTTGTGTTTTCGATTCACGCCCATCGAAAAGCTCTGCAGTAAGTGTGTAATTAATACCATAAACTACTTTCCTTTCATTCTCGATGCTAATCTTTGATAAATCGTAATCAATAATTAGTAATGATAATAAGTGATTAGTTGCAATGTTTTAATTTAATTTTTATTTGGATGTGTAATCGTAAAATAATGATTAATGCACTCTTATCATAGATTCACCAAACTTCTTGAAGATACCTTTTCGACATCGTTTGTCATACAACTCTTGATAGTTACATTCTGTTTGAGCATTACTTTACTGCAAGTAAGTTACTTATAGATAAAAAGATTTTATAACGTAAGGATTTTATCTTCTTCGCATTTAAGCTCTCGATGCAGCTCCACGATTTCACAGAAGCAATGAGATACTTCGTCTTCTTTTGTGCTCAATTATTTCATTTGTTCTGCTTCAGCTTCCAAGGACAGAAATTGATAAATCACAGTCTCGAGACTTGTGACAGGATGTAAGAGATAGATATTAAGTAGAAAATAAATGATCTGTATGATAAAAAAGACGCGAAGACTTTCCATAGAAATATTTTGAAAAGTTCCATTTCTCGTAATAAATGAACAGCTATCTATTGTACCTTTCTATTGTACATTGTTACTTTTTTTGTATGGAATTATGGAAATTTTATAGATTTCATAGCTCATGGTATAAAATACCTGTGAAGGAACAAAGATTGCTCTTGTTTGTGATGAGAAAAAGCATCGAGGCTAGTGCTTTGACCGCCGGCAAGATATACGTTTTTTCTCTAGAAAGTTTCACAACGGTAAAGCAATTAACATGACAGAATATAAAAGCACATGGATTAAAAGATAAATACATAAAACTTTTAATTTTCATTTAGGTCGTGCAGAGCTCGATGTCGTACTTTACGTTACTATCATCCTTTAATGTATGATAGCCGGCGATTAAGACAGCATGCAGTAAAATATTCGTGAAAATTCGTTTCATAGATGTAAATTATTATAAATTGTACATTGAATAAAATAAAATCTATATTTGCTATCATTTAAAGGCAAAAGTAGTGAAATTTTGTTATTAATGTTACTAGACAACGAAACTTTCTCTCCAAATATTTCTTGGAGGGAATATAAATATTTATGATATAAAGATATTTCTTATAAAAAAAATATTAATTTTCTGTCCTGTTTTTTCCGATCGATATATATTCTCTCCGACAACTTGGAAAACAGGCCACTCGTTAATGAAGATATATTATAATTAATACTAAAGAAACACATACTTATCTAAATTACATAAGATTAATCGATTTATTGATCGATGTGACTCACACAAAATTGTTTTGTGAAAAATGATCATATTGAGTAGTTTTATCGCAAGATGATAGTTTCTTAACTTGTTCTTCCTAATTTGTTTTTTAATTTGATCTCTGAATTGTTCTGATATAAAGCAATCAGTTTCAAATTTAATTGTCCTTATAATACCATTTTGAAATATTTGCTTTTTGCAATATTTCTCTGCATCTATCTCTAACAATAATGAAAAATTTAAAAATTTTGCAATACTTACAATTTTATGTTTGGACAATTTAACACAAATATTTAAACTTACAAAAATTTATAAAATATATAATGTAATCCTGCAAAGTTTTAATCTTTATTTATAATACACTGAGGTGTTAAAGAGTACCAGATTTGTTAAACTGACAATCAATTTTTGTTTGTGTTCAGCTTAATCGTGTTTTTTATATTTCAAATAATATTGAGACCAGAACAGTTTCTAACATATTTTCTAAAATAAAGAATTAAAATAAATGCGCGCTGTCATCTTCTTTATATTTTCACAAGAGGATGGAAAATCAATAATGCACCTCGGAAACGTTCAGTTTTTAGTGGTAATACTGTAACGTAGCAATTTCGCAACGATCAATAAGCGGATACATACGATAGTACTTATATCTTGCTATTAAACATGGACAATGTCACAAGAATTTTTACTTTCTTGAACATCCTAATCGATATCCCTCAAAGAAAAAAATCGTCTCTTTTACTTTTAATGATCTACGTCTTCCACTTTTAACGAAACATGAAATACGAGATTGCTATTTCAAAGTTTTCTAACGTATATAATATTTTTGCTGTCCATCACATTCACTGAAATATTCATTTGTCTCTCATAAGACACGCCGAGCAAGAAAATTAGTCGATTGCGCGTTACCAAGGGGGAAACACTGCTTCGAAAACTATGAAGAACGCGCCGAATTATTATTACAATGTTACAAAGAGAATGTTGTTACTGGTTGGTCAGTGGCCATATCAGGAAAGAAAGTCCAGGCTATTCAGAGTTAGCTTGATCACCGCGATGACTTTTTCGATGACTGTTCCACAGGTTGCAAACCTGTTTATCGAATCTTAATTTTTATTTATTCTAATAGAGTAAGAAGAGATAGTTTATAAAAAATTAGAAAATTCCAGAATCGTATCTTTAATGTGAAAAAAACATTTTAATTGAATTTAATTTTAATAATAATTAATTAAACTATAGGACTGATAAAAAATTTATGATACTCGTGATACTTCTAGTGCTACGTTTGCTCGAAATTAATAATTTACATTTTAGATAAAATTTTATGAGTACTTATATGAAAGATACGTAATAAATTAAAACACATTCAGACATTAAATAATATAATTAGTGATTTATATTTCGTGAAATATAACAAATTATAAAGATCTAAGATTAGCTTTAGTAACGCTGTTTCCAGGTTGGCAAAATTATTCAATGTGACGGAAATGCGCAATGTATTACGCTAGTCATACCATCATGTATATTGATGGTTTTGATTACTGTAAAGGTGTATACATGCCAGTTTAATAGTAACAAAGTATGCCAATATAAAAATTTATATTATGCATTAACAGAAAAATGTTTAGTTTTTCTTTCTAAAATTATCATTTACGGCTTTCTATGATCGTCGCCAGGCTAATTGATACAATTTCACTTATCAAGAATATTTTTAGATTAAAAATTTTATCGATAATCTACACAGCGATTGGACAAAATTAGAAAGTGCGGAAGAATACGAAATCATGGAGACATATGCAAAAAAGGCAAATTTTATATCTTTGGCATACTGCTGTAAGAAATAAATTGTTCGATAAAGTTAAAATAAAAATTAAAGCACATTATTTTACGAACGATAGATGATTATTTCATTTTATTGCAGTGTATTATCATATATCCGCCGGTGTCTTTGTGTCACTCAGTCTTATACCGCATATAGCGAATCTCGTGTTACCTGTCAATGAATCCTGGACTACCTTCATGCCTTACGAGGCGTACTACTTCGTGGACAGTGAAAAATACTTTTTTTACATTTTTGTCCATGCCCTTGTGGGGGCAGAGGTATGCTTAGCAGGAGTAATGGCGCATGATTGTATGCTTTTGACATTCATCGAACACGTCTGCAGCGTTTTCGCATTGGCAGGGTAAGAAAAACTTGTATTTTTCTTTTACATCCACTCAACGGACGGAAGAGCGAAATTATTTTTTTTAATTATACACAGATTTCGTTTTGAGAGTATAACACACAACGATCACGTAGAGAAGAGTACATTGGACGATAAATACGTTCGAAAAATAGCAATTTCTGTACATGCACATTGGCAAGCTTTACAGTAAGTACACAATATTGCACTTAGGATATGAATATATCTACAAAAAAAAAACAAAAGAAGAAGAAGCTACATGTATTACGAAAAATTTAACCTACTACAGCTTAGCAGAATTTCTTGAAAATATTTTTCGCATTTCGTTGGCCATCCAAGTCCTGATTATTACTATAGGAATGAGTATTACTCTTTTGCAAGTATGTGTCTATTTTATATTACAAGTTAATTAGCGCACAAAAAGAATGGCTTTGGTAAAATATATAAAAATTTGATTGGATAGAGAACTGACGGTAATTTTGTTGAATCTAAAATAAATATGTAAGATTTTTAAGCATAGCTTTAATATAGTAAATATTTTTCATAATTCTAGCAACCATCTTGAGCATTTGTAATTATTTTGATAGTCCAACAAAATTTTCTTACATCTGATTAATCAAATGTTTCTATGCTTTAATATTCCTTCTTTCGTATTTTCATACGAAAGGGAGAATACTAGAGCATAACGCGTTATTACACTTATTTGTATGATCGACAGGAGTGCATAAGATTAAAATGTTGTAATTATCGCTTTCGAGGTCGCACTTCGATTAAATGAAACGGCGGAAATGCTGAGATACATATCGTTTGTCACTAGTGAACTAATTAATGTATTCTGCATCAGTGTGCAAGGCCAGAAATTGACAGATCATAGTGTAAAAATAGCTGACCAAATGTAAGATGACTGATTTTAACTGTGCAAATTAGTGAAAACGAGAAATTCGTGACACGCAAATATGTTACAGATATAACTCCTTTTGGTACGAACTACCAACAAAATCACAAAAGATGCTTCTTTCCGTGATGCGAAGGAGCGGACAACCGAATTTTATAAGCGCCGGTAAAATTTATGTCTTCTCTCTGAAGAGCTTTACCACGGTAAAAATTATTTATGTTTTAGAGATTATGTTATTATATGCTTGTTCAAAGTTTCTCTCAAGAATCTTTAATTATTTTAAAGTTTGTACAGTCTTCGGTGTCATATTTTACCGTACTTGCATCCTTCCAATAATGTTGAATAGTACAATTCGGATTTGCAATTATGTCATACCAATGGAGATTGCAATGGAAATAGTTATATTTAATGTATTAATCGTAATAAAGTTATTTAGATAAATAAAAATAAAGAGAATAGAAAATGAAAAAATGACGTTATATATTTTAAGTGCTGATAAATATTTATTTTTTATCAATCTTCTGTTACATGAAGAAGATGACAGTATCAATTGCAGGCAATTTTTAAAACTAAAGCTAAGTTGTGCAAATTGAGAAAAAAATTTTGCAATTCCCTTCACAGAAGTTGTATCATGTTTGTAATAAAAATTGCAATCGGTATAGTAATCTTTTCAATGTAACAAAAAATTGTTTTAAGTTAAATTATATATTAATCATTTGAAATATACAAAATCTACATTATCTCAATGTAATATATTCTACGATAATTGGTTTCAAAAATTAAGATCGCACTCGGCAAAGTTTGTTGGGAGAATGCCTTAAAAACTGTTGTTGGAAGATTAAGATCATGAGAAATAGTTCGAGAGCTAATGCTGATCAATGCAACATGTAAACATCTATTCGTTACATTCCAGTATATTCGTTACGCTCATAATTCAATTCGTGAAATATGATATTCAAAGATCACTTTGTCCATGACTGCTATTACTGGGTACGTTACGTTGATGATAGAAAGAACAGGACGCGCGTGAAGAACAGTTTTAACATATTTTTCTATGTAAAAAAAATTAATAATTGCATATCACCCATCCATTTTACGTATTTCAAATTTTTGAGAACGTAATGGCGAATAAACGAATACGTAAAATGGATGCTTATTAATTCTTTTTTTTAGATAGAAAAATATATTAAAACTGTTCCTCTAATTTAAGTATTACAAAAAAATGAAAAGTGGATTATGCGCTAAGGAAACACTCATTTTGCAATAATATTGAACGTGGTAATTTCACAACAATGAACAGGTACATAAGATAGATATACTATAGCATTTATATCTTGCTGCTAAACGTATGGTCAACTTTGTCACAAGAAATTTCATTTTCTTGGACATCCTGTACTGATATATTTGTCAAAGTAAAAAGTCGCTTCTTCCGTTGATAGTTCTTCATTCGCTTTTATCGAGGCATAACACGCGATATTGCTATGTCAGAGTTTTCTGAAGCATGTAATATTTTTGTCCACCACGTTTGCTGAAATATTTATTTCTTTCTTATAAAAAAGGCAGATGAGATTAGTTGATGGCGCATCGCCAAGAAGTAAATACTGCTTTGAACACTATGACGTTTTCAATTATTATTACAAAGAGAATGTTGTTACTTGCTGGCCAGTGGCCATATTAAGAAAAAAAGTCCAGATTCTTCAATCTAAGCTTGACCACTATAATTATTTTTTCGATGACCGTTCCACAGGTTGCAAAATAAAATAATTTGTCATAACTTATACCATGTTCTCGTTCTAAATCTAATAGTATAAATAAAACTTATAAAATATTGACTATGTAAAATGTGATATACAGAGCAAATTGTTTACAACATTTTTAAACTCTTTTTAATATTTCATTAAAGTAAAAACATAATTTATAAAAAAATAGAAAATTCCAAAATCATATTTTAAATACAAAAAAATATTAATTTAAAAAATAGGCCTGGCCTTCATAATACTTCTAATATTAAATTTGCTTAAAATCAATAATTTACATTCTGGATAAAATTCTATTTGCGTTTATATCAAATACACATAATGAATTAAAATGCACACCCAAACATTAAACAAGTAAAATTATAACTAGTGATTTACACATTGCGAAATATAACAAATTATGAATGATCTAAAGTAAACTTTTGCGACGATGTTTCTAGATTGGCAAAATTATTCAATGTGACGGAAATGCGCAATGTATTACGCTAATCATACTATCATGTACATGACAATTTAACAGTAACAAAATATGCCAATACAAAAATTTATATTATGCATTGATTGAAAAATGTTTAGTTTGTTTTTAATTGTCATTTACGGCTTTCTATGCTCGTCGCTAGATTAATCGATACGATTTCACTTATCGAGAACATTTTTAGATCAAAAATTTTATCGATAATCTATACAGCGATTGGGCAAAATTAGAAAGTGCGGAGGAATACGAAATTATGAAAACGTACGCAAAAAAGGCAAATTTATTATCTTTGGCGTACCGCTGTAAGAAATAAATTGCTCGATAAAATTAAAATAAAAATTAAAGTACATTATTTTACGAACAATGATTATTTCATTGTATTACATTGTATATTATTCTATTGTATGTATCTGCCGCCGTCTTCGTGTCATTCAGTCTTATACCGCATGTAGCGAATCTCGTGTTAACGAATTCTGGGCCGTGTTTTTGCCTTACGAAGCGTATTATTTCGTGGACAGTGAAAAATACTTTTTTTACATTTTTTTTCCATATTTTTGTGGGCATAGATATATGCCTACTATGAATAATGACGCATGAGTACGTGCTTGTGACTTTCATCAAACATATTTGCAGCGTTTTCGCTGTGGCAGGATAAGAAAAACTTATGTTTCTTTTTCACTCGCGAAACGGTGAAATTATTTTTCTTAATTACACGCAGATTTTGTTTTGAGAATCTAATACGCGTGATCGACAGTGATCACGTGAGAAAGAGTAGATTAAACAATAGATATCATCGGATAGCATACATGTACACTGGCAAGCTTTATAGTAAGTATATAATAATAATAATAATACATGTTGCACTTATGATACAAATAATATGAACAAAGAAAAATATCAGAAGAAAAACAAACTATCGATATATTAGCAAAACTTGCCTAGTGCAGCTTAGCAGAGTTTCTTGAAAATACTTTTCGCGTTTCTTTGGCCATCCAAATGCTGATTCTTACCATAGCAATGAGCATTACTCTTCTGCAAGTATATGTCCATTTAATATTACAATTTAATTAGCGCACAGAAAGATTGGCTTTGATAAAATGTCTAAAAATGTTGAATCGGATACGAAATTGAAAATAATTTTGTTGTATCTAAAAATTTTTATGCCTAATGATAATATATCAAACATTTTTCATAATCGAATAACTTAAGCATTCTACATAATTATTTCGATGGTCCAAAATTTTTTTTTAGATTTATATTTAATTAAATTTTTATAAAAATTTAACAAAATCGTTCTTTCTATGCGTATTTGTATACGATAAATTATTTCATATATGCATTTGCGTGACTAATGGAAGAGCATAAGAATAAAGTATTGCAATTATCCCTTTCGAGATCGCACTTCGGTTAAATAAAATTACGGAAACGATGAGATACACGGCGTACATCTTTTGTCAAACAATTAGCTTATTCTGCGTCAGTATAAAAGATATAAAAGTTGATCACAGTATAAATATACGTGACAAAATGTAAGACGACAATTTTAATTATACGAATTCGTGAAAATGAGAGATTGGCGACATGCAAAATCAGATGCAGATATAACTTCTTTTGGTATGAACTACCAGTAAAATTACAAAAGATGTTACTCTCCGCGATGCGAAGGAGCCTACAACCGAATTTTTTAAACGCCGGCAAAATTTATGTCTTCTCTTTGAAGAGCTTCATCACGGTAAAAATTATTATCCATAATGATTACATTATTATATGACGTGTATGTTCAACATTCTTTTTAGAAATCCTTAAAATGCATTTATTTTAAAGGTTGTGCAGTCTTCGGTGTCATGTTTTATCGTACTTGCATCTTTCCAATAATGGCGAATAGTAAAATTCGGATGTTACCTTGGCAGTCGCAATTATGTCAATAGAGATTGCAATGGAAATAGTTGCATTTAATGTTTTTGTTGCGAGCGTCAAGAACGCAATCGCGCCCATCGCTGACGAAGCGGGTCGCGGCAAGCGAGCGACACTTTATTATCCGATTGTTATCACTTTTATTAATTGATAGCGATTGCCAAAGCGTAACCGTGTATTTATTTTGTAACCAATCCACTTAATACTATGCCTTAAGTAGATTATGTCAATTGCCAAACCGTGTTACGCGGTCCTAGAAATATACCGCGAACGCTGACGACCATTATGATTACGCTGCAAAGACCGCCCGAAACAGGAAACGGAAGAATCGGTGTTAGGAGAGGGGACTTGTTAAGATTCTATATTACCGTCACGTCGATCGCGGTCCGAATTAATAAGTGTAAAGTATATAGTTTAATAAAGTTTA